AAAAATGGTTGTGTGGCCCCATCACCAATTATCTGTTTGACAAACAAGTTGCACAAACCTTTAACAGAAACATGAATATGGTTTATTACGGCAACAAAAACATTTGAAAAAAGGTGTATCTATAGGCTAATGCTTCTATTTTCAAAACGCTTCTATTTCAGAATTTTTATTTGAGCAAAAGTCTAGCTAGCTCATGAATATTTTTGTGGTTGATTAGGGCTTGCATAAATAAAAAAGGTTGGAAACCACTGATTACAGAGCATATACAGTGATTCTCGATTACAAGGTAAATCATTTTCTTAATTAGCAAAGCCTTTAAGCACTGTCCCAATCAACCAAAATTATGCTGTCCCATTCAAACTGTGTTTGGGTGGATCATGGTATATATATATATATAAACATAATATGCAATTCAGTAACATAAAAAAAACTTCCTGTTTGATCCCTGCCCCGCCCACCTACATGATGTCACACCAATGAGGGCATCCAATTTTAATGATGTGGTCTTACATAAAGGACTCATCAAAAAAAAGTTTTTATTTTCACTCATTAGGTGAGAAAATAAATTCTGTGTAGTTATACTGTCCCATTTGACCTTATGTCCCAATCACCCTTAATTCACCCGATGTAGAATTACTGGAATTGTTTATCCTTCCCTGGTCTTTACACATATGCTTCACATTATCACCTTTTCTGACGTTATATATTTCATGTATTAAACAGGCTACCTCTTTGAAATAAAACAAAGACTTTATTAAATTAATTTAATTTAAATTAAAATTTTTCCGAAATAGAAATAGTAAGGATATCTGAATAAATCGATATAATTAAAACAACAACGAAAAGAAATAGCGTGAAAGGCTTTAATTGGACCTAATTCTCTTTAGAGGGCGCCGAAGTCATTTATTATTTAGACAGATAAATGGCATTTTATAAAACATGAATGTATTTCGACATTTTACATTAATTGTACTGCACCAATAGCTCTTAATATTTAAAATAACGGCTTAACAAGACTAAATAAGGTAACATTATTACTAAAACACCGTTACAAAAAACTGTAGGCTTTAAAACAGCCCAACCACTAGAGGGCGCAGTGCAGCCTCTTATTAGTATTCTACTAAAATACATTTTAAATAAATATTGCATTTGATTAACGTTAATTTTTCCACAACTCCCCCCCCCCCCCCAACATGTACCCCCCT